ACAGAGCTTGAAAACTGTGTCCCACCTTTGGGAGCCCAAGTAACTTAACTCTCGCTTGAAAGATGTAACAGCTAGTGCCAAGCGCTCATGTGAAGAGGTAACGAATCCACATACAGTTTGGAGAATGGTCGGTGTGCATTTCTGTCCTATAGAAAAATAACTCAAGGTACAGCAATAAATTATCACCGTTCTCCAGAGACACTAGAACTCACTGATGAATGGCTCTGGCATCTGACGAAAATTGTTGTTGTTAGGTGCCATCAAGTCAGTACCGACTCACAGCGACCTTATGCATATCAGAATAAAACCCTGCCCAATCCTGGGCCAACCTCACTACTGTTGCCATGCTTGAGCCCATTGATGCTGCCACTTGGCCAATCCATCTGGCTGGGGGTCTTCCTCTTTTTCTCTGACCCTCCATCTTACCAAACATGATATCCTTCTCCAGCGACTGGTCCCTCCTGACAATATGTCCAAAGTATAAGAGACGAAGTTTGGCCATCTTAGCCCCAAGGAGCACTCTGGCTGCACTTTTTCCAACATAGATCTGTTAGTTCTTTTGGCAGCCCATGGCACTTTCAATATTCTCCTCCAACACCATAACTCAAATGCATCAATTCTTCTATGGTCTTCCTTATTCACTGTCCAGCTTTCGCATGCACATGAGGTTATTGAAAATACAATGGCTTGGGTCAGGCGCACCTTAGTCCTCAGGCTGACATCAGCTCCTGACCACTAGGCGAGCTCTGTGACCCATAGCAAATCCCATCAGTCTCCCTAGGCCTCAGTTTTCTCATCTGACAATGGGTATAATTGTAACTACTTCCTCTCAGGAAGGAGCTGTGGTAGCATAGTGGTTACGAGTTGGGCTGCTAACCTCAAGATCAGCAGTTCGAAACTACCAGCAGTTCCACAGGGGAAAGATGAGGCTTTTTGCTCCCGTAAAGATTTACAGCTTCAGAAACCCTGTACAGGACACCACCACCATCACTTCCTCTCAGGACTGCTATGAGGATACACTGACATGAGGGATTGTCTTCAAATTCCTAGAATGGTGCCTGAAACAGTTCTCTAGGTTATTTTTAAGTACCGTCGAGTCGATCCTGACCCACAGCGACCTTGTATAGGGTTTCCGAGGAGCAGCCAGTGAGCTTGAACTGCTGACCTTGCAGTTTAAATGGCTTTGCAGTCTGACGCATGAACCCACAGCGCCACACCAGGCCTCCAAGTTCTATGAAATAGGCATTAGGAAAGTAGTGTGTGTCTAAGATTCGGTTTAGCCTTCAAGTGATAGATACTTCAAGGGGCCTGCTCTGTTACTGGAGAATCGTCCAGGTAAGCCAAGAATTTCTCCAGTGACTGAAATGTAATTCCAACCTTCAGACACAGACGTTGCTCTTAAGCAAAGCACAAGGAAGTAATCTGGATTATAAAAATAAAAAAAAAAATTGAAAAACTTTAAATAATTATCCAGCAACCTGAGAAATCTCTCTACATCATTAAGATAAAATCTCTTTTTAGTAAAGGATTCCAGATTACTGTACCAGGTTATAAGGTTATACCTGTGCGATGTTCATGTTAGCCAGTCCGGCTTTACCTCTGTAAAAAGCCGTTCTAGATTATCAGGGGGAATGGAGACCTGGGAGCTGGACTGGCCTCTCTGTCTACACAAACGCTCAGGCAGACCGGTCACCAGACTCCGTTCTCCTCTCACCGTCTGGAGGAAGTGGGAAGCATAGGAAACACATGATGGAGTCAGGAGTTTCCCCAGGAATTCCATTCACAGAAAGAGGAAATGCTAGACTTTCTCTCAAGGGAAGTTTCGATAGTTAACCAAGGACTGCAAATGGAAGATTAAAAACAACAACAACGCTTGGTGAAAAACATAGGTGGGTCTCATTTAGCCTGAGAGCCTGGTCTGAGATGTCTTTAAAGCTGACACACTAAGAAAACATAGGCGAAATGACCTCGAAAAATGGAAACTTTCCATTATCTTTTAATTAATTATGTTTTTTCAATGATCTTTTTGAAGTCCCCTTGTATTTGGATATTGTAAACCTTATCATTTATAATAAATTATTTATATTTGTTATTGATAGCCTTGTTGTTGTTGTTATGTGCCAGGGAGTTGGTTCTGACTCATAGCAACCCTGCACAGGGTTTCCGAGGCTGTAAATCATTATGGGAGCAGAAAGCCTATCTTTCTCCCATGAACAGCTGGTAGTTTCGAACTGCTGACCTTGCAGTTCACAACCCGATTTGTAACTACTACGCTACCAGAGCTCCTTATTGATAGCCTTACTTAACACATTACTCCAGTGCAGACTTTCAAATGAAAACAAAACAGGAAAGCCACTGTTTACTGAGCACTGGTGGCATGGTGGAGTCCCGGCATGGCACTGCGGGTTAATGCACTGGACCACACACAAGGTCGGCAGTTCAAGCTCACCAGCCGTTCCTCGGAAACCCTACACAGGGTTGCTATGAGTTGGAATCGACTTGACAGCACTTAACAACAACAACAGTGGCGCTGTAGACTACTGGCATGGTGCTGCGGGTTAATGCACTGGACCTCAAGGTCAGGTTGAACCACAAGGTTGGCGGTTCAAGCTCACCAGCTGCTCCTCAGAAACCCTACACAGGGTCAGAACTGACTCAATGCACTGGCCTTCATTTAGTTCACCTGGGCAACCCCAACTGAGAGAGAAGGTGGAGACATTTAGCAGTGAGACTCTTACACATCTGGGGGAGTCCCTGCATGGTGCAAATGGGTAAGCGCTTGACTGCTTACCCATTTGCACCATGTACTGCCCAGTCATAAAGAGGAATGAAGTTCGGATGCCTGCTATAGCGTGGACGGTCTTTGACAATGTGTTGAGTGTCGTTGGTCAGTCACAAGGGACAAGTACTACAGGACCTCACTTACAAGAAATTCACAAACATCTACACACCAAGGATCACTGCTAACTACCAGGAACGGGAGGGAGGGAGAAGGGGAAGCTTTGGCTTGAGGGGCTCTGAGTTTATGTTAACGGTGGTGGATTCATGAAGGCAAAGACCAGGGGTAGAAGGGTCCAACATGAAGAGCCCAGCGTACTCAGTACCACTGATTACACATGTAGAAACTGTTGAGTTGATGGCTGTTGTGTTGTGTAAGTGGAACTGTAAACTGTCCTCTGCACGGACAAGGTGGGAGGACAAGGTGGGAGGGCTCAGTGGAGAAGACAGTGTTTTAAGCTGCCAGCACATGGTCATGAGATGAGGCAGACCGGCGTTAGTCTATTTTTAAATTGTCTTCAGACAGTGTGCTCCTTTGTGCCTACGCCCGGGGCGGACTGCTCCCAACACTCCCACGCCCAGATGTCCCAATAATATCCTGAAAGCAAATATAAACTGGGGATTCCCAAAGCTCTTTTTCAAGTGTTTTAACTGCTCACAGAAACTGACCCAAACGCCGACAGTTTTATTACTCTCCACACTTGAGCACACAGTAATTTGTTTCCCTTCCGTAGTACCATTTCAAAGTTCGCTGTTGAGACAATTGGAAGCAACTGCTGCAGGTTCAAGTGCAGACGGGACACTGGTGACTCCCAGGAAGACCCAGCTGTACCTACACCTCTGGAGGAGAGCCTGCTGCTTAGGGCACACACCAGTATCGTCAGCTGCACACCAGAATTTAAGAATGGTTCCAGTTCCGACAGCCAAATCTCACTCAATTTGAGCATCAACATAAATAATGCTAGGGATGAATGGAGAAAAGAAAGCTTTTTGCCCAGCAGAAAGCCAAGAAAAAATATGGAAGGGATGGTAGTTAGAAAATCATCACAGATGCTCAAGAAAAAAGATGGAAGGGACGGACGGTCATTAGAAAATGATCATAGATGCTCAAGTTAGTACGTGAAAGTTTGAGGAGGAACAGGATATTTACAGAGCTCAATGCATCTCCCCAGAAATTATGAACTAGAAGAGAAATACAGTAAGTTCACAGATGCTACCCTACCCCAATGCTCAAAGCTTACACCAGTGATAGCAGGAGAAACCAACATCAGATGCCTCCTGACACAACGCACTGAGAAGAACATTCCCGCCGAATGCATCACTCAACCCTGACCGCAGTGAGCCACCAGATATACCTACACTCAGGGTCTTTCTGCAGAATCACTGGCCTGGGTGTTTCAAAAATGCCAAGGCCAAGAAACACGAAGAAAGCTTGAGGAGCTAGCTGCTCCAGATTAATTATGACTAAAACGGAAACCATGTACAGGGTCGCTATGAGTCGGAACCGACTCCACGGCACATAACAACAACAACAAAAAGGAAAAGGCAATGCCATGCGAGGTTCTGGATCAGATCCTGGCCTTGGAAAACAGCAACACCAAATCCTCATAGTTATAAAGAATGTTATTAGAGCAACTGACAACATTTTATATGGACTGCGGATTAGGTCATAATAGTATTGAATCAAGGCGAGATTTCCTGATTTGGGTAACTATATTGCCACTACATAAAAGAACATTCTAAAATATTTATAGGGTTCAGGAAAAAATACATTCTACATGCAAGGAGAGAGAACGAATTTGATGAAAAATATGGGACAAGTGCAAACAACTAGTAAATATGGAAAAAGGACAGGTGGGAGATTCCTTGTTTTATTCTTGCAACTGTTTATAAATTCAAACTTAAAATTAAAATACAGAGTTTCAAAAAAATATCCGTAACTGTCTTGGAGTCTGTTTTTGGGTAGAATCCCAGAATTTCTCGCCCCACCCTCCTGGGGAGAGCTAGCTGCTTTGGGACAGGACCGGGATACAGTTCCAGAGCTCCCTGTAACCATCCCAGGAAATACGGCGATCCTGAGAAAATGAGAGGTGCTGGGGAGGGAGGGGAACAAGAGCCACACTCATTTTATACAGAAACGACAAACCGAGGAAAGGCAGAAGACAGAACACAACACAGAGGCAGTTTAACCAACAGGAAGAGGATCTTGGAAGAGCACTCACGTTTTTCATTTTGAAGGACTCTTCCTCCAGCTTCTCCACTGCCAGAATGTTCTCAATAGGGATGCTGTAAAGGGGCTGGTCACCTGCAAGAGGCCAACAAAGAGAAATTAACAGCCTCCTTGCCCTCAGTTTGATGACTCAGGCCCACTGGTCCCACAGAGACCATTTATCCTCATCAAGTTTGGAGCGGTTCCCTCAGCAGGCCTCAAGATTTCTGTGTGAGCGCGTGTTCACATCTGCTAGGGAGCTACAGGGCCAGGGAGGTGAGGAGACATTCAGTCACTCTGCCCTTGTTTCTCATAAAAGCTGGAGGCCTTAGATGAGGAGATTAATAAAACAACCAACCACAAGCATGTAAGAGAAGCAGTCAAATGGGGCTTTGGGATTAGGGACCTCAGGTTGCGGGACATGTTCTCTGTCCACAGAATAAATGTGCTACAAATACAGTCATTTATACACTTGCTGTAAGGTAAGCACTGTACCACAAGGTTGTTAGTTTAAACCCACCAGTTGTTCCTCAGAAATGCTACCCAGGGTCACTATGAGTCAGAGTAAATTCGACAGCCCTTAACAGCAACAACAGCATTATATATCTCCTGCTAGCTCTGGTAGCGTAGTGGTTAAGAATCAGGCTGTGAACCACAAGGTCAGCGGTTCTAAACTACCAGCTGTTCCGCAGGAGAGAGAAGAGGCTTTCTGCTCCCATAAAGATTTACAGCCTCGGAAACCCTATACAGGGTCACTATGAGTCGGAACCAACTCCACGGCACATAACCACCAACCACAAAGCAGTGGTTCAAACCCACCAGCTGCTCCACCGTGAAAGGTGAGGCTCTCTGCTCCCGTAAAGATTTACAGCCTCAGAAATCCTATACGGAGTCCCTATGAGTTGGAAGTGGCTTGATGACAGTGGGTGTTGATGTTGATGAGCCCTCGTGGTGCAGTGGTTAAACACGTGACTGCTAACTGTAAGGTCAGTGGTTCAAACCCACCAGCTACATCGAGGGAGAACGAGGAGACGGTCTGCCTCCATTGGGCGTTACAGCCTTGGAAGCCCCAGGAAGCAGGTCCACTTTGGCCTTTTGAGACGCTACAAGATGGAATCACCTCAATGGGGGTGGGTTTGATTTTTGGGATGTACCTCTCAGGTTATTTCCTTACTCTGAGAATGAACCACACACACACATGTATGTTTCTATAATTATGTTTAAGTTTTCCAGATTGTACTATTTTTAGGATACTCAATTTTTTAATGAGGAGAAAATAATTTCTCAACATTTCACAATTTAAATCAAGCTTTAACGGGAAGCTACTTTCAGCTGCTGAGATAAAACAGCCCCAGTAGAACACTGTATTCTTACTGACCTGTGATCCTATTTCTACATTTTGCAGGTTGAGTGAAGTTACCCTCATTGTTCTTGTCACCATCTTCCCCAACCCCAGACCAACCATACAAGCACCACAAAACCAAAATCTCACCTGCATACACATCTACCATGGACATTGGTTCTTAAATGCCGTTGAGTCAGTTTTGACTCATAGCAACCCTGTACAGGATTTCCAAGGAACAGCTAGTGAATTTGAACCCTTAACTTTGCTGGTTCATACTGACCTTGCGGTCCAGCGCTTATCCTACAACACCACTCACAGGATGCCACTTAAACACTCTGAAAATTGAGCATGCCACTTATTTTATAAAGAAACTTCATTTACAAAGTGCTCCCTGGAAATAGGATGCATAGCTTTAGCAAAAAAAAAAAAATTAATGCATTTTTCTTCCTCCTGAAAAGATACGGGGTAAGTAAAAAAGTATTGCTGCAAATCACAGAATTCGTTATTCAACAAAACTATCAAAATGTGAAGCTGTTGTTTCTTGATTCTTCCACCATCTAGGTTTATACATTTCTGAAGGCGGTGTCTCCTCCCCAAAGGATTCTGGGACGTTTGAGTCACACCCTGTCAGAAGGACAGTGCTGGCATGGGCAAGATCAGGCTGTAGGGTGGAAGGAGTGAGGTCTCACAATGACATTCTTGTGGGACAACCCTTATCACCACTAAAGAATGAACAGATGATGTGTCAAGATGGTAAACATATTTCTCGGTGGAATTGTCTGGCCTTTTTCTCATCAAGGCAGTTTTCAATTTTCTTAAAACTTTTTCCTAATAAGCCCCCATGATCATCTTGTGCCCTTAGAGAAACCCTATCAAGATGACCACTTTGGGATACCCAATCACCCTAACCTTAAAACCTTGTGAGCTGACGACCGCCCTGCCTTGAATTTAACTGTCTCAGCAGATTCCCTCAGATGTCACTGATTGGATTGGACCTTCGTTCAGAAGGCAGCCTCAGAGAGGCTTGTTGTTGTTAAGTGTCATCGAGTCGGTTCTGACTCACAGCGACCCTGTATAGGGTTTCTGAGGAGTGACTGGTAAATTGGAACTGCCTAACTTGTGGTTCAGTGCTTTATCCTACAGCCTCACACCAGGACCCCTAATGAGACTAAGACAAGCATCTAACTGAGAGAACTTGTCTGCAGTCATCCACTGGTCCCAGAGACATGTTTCAATGGGTTTTGTTTGGAATAAACCCATCCACGTATGAATAAAAACTGCAGTCGTGATAGTTTTGTAAACTTACTCTCAGATTTAAATTCCAGCTTTGTAAACACTACATTGTCTAGTGACTGAGACAGGAAAAGAGCAGAAGGACTATTCCAGCTCAGGGTACAAGGGACTGAGGGATCATTAAAGGGAGGGTAATGCTGGTACTGGAGTCCTGGTGTAGCGCTGTGGGTTAATGCGCCAGACTGCAAAGCCGTTTGCACTGCAAGGTCGGCGGTTCAAGCTCACCAGCCGCTCCTTGGAAACCCTATACAGGGTGGCTATGGGTCGGAATCTACTCGACAGCACTTACAAACAACAACAACAATGCTGGTATTCGCTATGATAAGGATTCAACAGTCGGATTTCCGCCTTTTACACAGGACAGATGAGCTTAGTTCCTAACCAATGAATGCACTATTCATCTGTAAGCTGTGATATTGAACAGGTCAGCCAAGCTTCTAGACTAAGGAAGACTAATAAGAAAAGCCTGGTGATCTACCTCAAAAGTCAGTCCATCCAACCTTATGGACCACAATCCAGCGACTGTAACCAGTGATGAGGATGGTACAGAGCCAGGCAGTGTTTTGTTCGGTTGTGTGTGGGGATGCCTGGAGTTGGGAACTTCCCGAGGACAGTTAGTTTTGCATTTGCTGATTTTGTGAGGAACTGGATGCCCTAAAGTCTGATTTTTGCTAACTTTTCAAAGGTGTGGCTAAGGCACTAAAGGATAAAAACCCTACCCCCATTAACTTGATGCCAACTCATAGCCATCCTGTAGGATCTGCGCATGGGGTTTCCTAGAGAAGCAGACGGACACAGCTCTCGCCCACGGAGCAGCTGGTGGCTTGAAACTGCCAATCGCTTAACCACTGCATCTCCAGGGCCCTCACTAAAGTATTTTGTTGTTGTTAAGTACCGTCGAGTCAGTTCTGATTCATAGCCACCCTGTATAGGGTTTCCAAGGAGTGACTGGTAGGTTTGAACTGCCATTCTTGCGGTTAGTAGTTCAATGCTTATCATATAGCACCACACCAGGACTCCAAACGAAAGTGTAAGGGATCTAATTAAGAAAACAAACCATATTCACAACCATCAAGCTGATTTCCATTCATAGCAAGCCTCTATAGGGTTTCATGGGAGAACAGCCTCGTCTTTCTCCCACAGTAAGGCTGGTGAGTTTGAACCGCTGATCTTGTGGTTAGCAGCCAGCGCCTAACCCACAGTACCACCAGGACTCCTTAGGGTGGACCACAGAGAACCCCTCCTTGTCCGCCTGCAGGTGGGAGAACTACGCATCTTTTCACCGTTCTGTTTAACACAGCACTTTCTGCCTGCTTTGCATCTTACCTTTGTCTTCTGAAAAGCAGCAGCTAACCCCAACATGAGCACACCCAAGTCTCTTGGTCTCTTACCATAAATTATGTGAAAATAAGTGAAAAGCAAACCTTTCTTGTTACCTTTGCTTTTCTGATAGGTAAATTCATGGTTTGTCAGGCGGAACCATCTCTTCTTAAAATTCTTCATTCCAAAGCGCTTTCTTCCCTGTGCCCGCTTAATCATGAACCTGTTATTAAGGGGAGATGCTGGATGCATTAATGTGCTTACCTCACAATGCCCTCCCCCAGTGACACAATCCAAAGCCCAAATCTGAATACTTCCTGACTGTTATGTAATGGAATTGACGCAGACCGAGGGTCCAGAAAACTTTGCAAGTACCACAGAGCAAAGGAGATCAAGTTTGATAATAATGGCATCTCAATTGTGTCTGAAAAGCCACAGTGTCCTTTCTGGATAAACCCATCTGCAGCTTCAACTCACAAGCCACAAATATTCCCCAAGCACAAGGGACTTGAAGCTGACTCTACAGCTTACCTAACTAAACTATTACCAGCAATTGTCTTTAATGCTAGTTAAATAGTCCTTTACCCAGCAGGCTGAACAAAAAGAGACTGAAAAATAATCAGGCTGAAGCATATAAAAGACAGAGGTATTGTTATAGATTAGTGCCTTAGAGTCTGTGCCAACTCACAGTGACCCTGTATAGGGTTTCTGGGGAGCGGCAGGTGGGTTTGAACCGTGCACCTTGTCGTCCAGTGCATTATCCTTCAGCACCACACCAGGACGTAGAAAGAATATGTAAGAAAAGCAAAGCTGGAGACAATGGGGGTGAGGAAGGTAGACAACACAGTGAGATCATGATATACACCTTTTATTTTACAAGAACATGAAAATGTGTAATTACAAAAGGGAATTGAAACAGGGCAGACAAGCATAGCTTGGTTTAGTAACCGTGATATGTCAAGATGGGGATTTAGAGAACTGTTTTCATAGAGGCACTGAAGATGTACAGAAGGTGCTCATTTACAATCGTGTCTACAGGAAAATCCGTGAAGACACCCTATGTGCCCATCACCAGAGAAACGGGAACACAACGTAAGTATAAATAAAAACTCAAAACCAGTGCACACAGAAAACTAGTTCATGCTTACCAGAGAGACCCAGACATGTCAATAAGCACACGAGGGTGGATTAGAAGAACACAAGTAACCAGGAGTGGACACCCACAACGGGCGATGAGGTGGGACAAGGTAAAGAGAGAGAGGAGTTCAAGTCTGTGTAATCAAAGCGAATAAAGTGAAAACAACAGTTTCTCAAAGGTTCCGGATCATTTAACAGTAACGTTAGAAAGTGAAAATTTTTAATGTGATAGTTGCATACCACGATGGTTCTAATCAATGTCACTAAATTGTATGAGCAAAAATAATGATAATAATGATAATAATCATAATGTTGAATCAGCAAATATTTTGCTATACACCTACTCCTCATCTATTGACTTTCTGGTTATCTGGAAGTTTGCCTCAAGTGAAAAAAATCAATGGTCTGTTTTGTGCATTAACAACATGTATGGGGCAGTAATAGACTCAGAGGTGTGGATGTGAGAGACGCTGGCTGTGATGGGTGAGGTTGTGCCAACTGGGCTGGGCTAGGACTCTCAGTGGTTCATCCGTTATGGAACGACACCATCATCTTCCATTGTGGGAGCTGATGGGGCCATCCTCCCTTTTCACACAAAGCTGAGTTCTGCCCAGCAACTAGGTCTCCGGACTCTAACTATGTTACGAAGTGAGATGTACATATTTTGTATCACAATAAAAAATTATTATTAATGTTTTTGGCACAATTTTCTTAGGCTTTAAATAGATGAGACTTTATATAAATGTTATTTATACTACATGTCTAGAAATCGCTGACGCCCCACCTCAGGTGGAGGAGATTTATCCATCACCCCTGTATTGTCAGGAGAGAAGTCTGCCAGCTCTTTTACTGTAAGAAAGTCCTTACTGAGGAATGACTAGCCTGCAACCTTATGTTTTCGGCACGCCATCCATCAAGTGACTACTTTTAACTAGGGTTGAATTTAATAAATGGGGTTTGAGAGGTAGGAAATTCATGACTGAGTGGTGTGCACATATTTAAATAAAGAACAAAACAGTTTGTGAAAGGAGATGGGGATAAGATTCTTATGATTCAATAGTGAGTAACTGTTATCATGAGTAATTGTGACTGTCACAACTGTAAAGGTAGAAGTTCTGTAACAAAAACAGGGGAGTGGTTAATCTTACAGTCCAGAAACATAGGGCCCTAGGACCATCAAGGGAGAAGGGCATGAGCAGAATGCAGGACCCTATCCAGAGAAGCAGCGACACCAGAGATGGAGGCAGAGATGGGGACATGGAGAAAGGGAGCAGCTGAGTACTCTAGATTCATGGAAAGAGAGGGACTGAGAGCTGGTGGCCAGGAAGCAGGCTTGCAGAATGTGCCCTTTGGTGGCTTAAATTATATATGCCAGGGTGCTTTATATATATATATACACACACACACACACATAAACATACACACACACACACACACACACATATATATATATATATAAAGAGCTAATATGAATAGAGAGAAATACTATTAACTGATGGTACATGGAGAGGATTATAATCATTGTAATGAAACAAAATATATGATTTGTTGAATGTAAAACTGATGATCTGCCCTGGAACTTTCACTCAATTCACAATAAAAATTAAAAACAAAACAAAATAGTTTGGTCCTGTGTAAACATGATTATTAAATTCAGCAAACAATTGTTAAGCATCAAGGTGCATATGGTCTACTTGAATGGTAGCAGGTCACCCCCTGTGAGAGGGACTCAGCACAAAGTGAACCTCATTAGGTATTTGTTATGACCATCTATCAGGGACTCTGGTAGCGCAGTGGTTATGAACTGGGCTGCTAACCTCAAGGTCGGCAGTTGTAAACTACCAGCTGTTCCGCGGGAGAAAGATGAGGCGTTCTGCTCCCGTAAAGATTTACAGCCTTGGAAACCCTATGCTGGGTCACTATTAACAACAACAACAACAACATCAGGGACTTGGGTGAATGCAGACAAAACAGGGCTATCAGATTGGTCCATGTCAAGAAGGAAGGACTAGTTCATCCAAGAGCTCTTTCAAAATGAAATGAGAGACCCAACCCACCAAGACTACATTAATGTAGGGCTCATGTGAAATGCCTTAATACAGAGTTAAATGCAAAGCGCCAACCTGGTTTTAGAATATGGTAGAAGTCCTGGTGTGGTGCTGTAGAATAAACACTGAGACTGCCAACTACAGGTTAGTGGTTCGAACCCAGCAGCCACTCCGAGTGATGGCACTCACCAACAACACAGAAGTCCAGGAAGGTGATAGCTATTTGATTCTTGGGGTGAAAAAATCTCAACTGCTTTAGTGACTCAAAACCTCAGCATGCATCAAAAGTGTGATGGATCTGATGGAAACTGTATGGATTTTAAGCCAGACTGCTTGAGCCAAGTCTGGTGCATTGAATCCACTTTTGTAAACTGTAGTTAGAGCAGAGTTTCTCACTGTATGGTACGCAAACCTTTGTGAGGAACCAAATGGTTTTAGGAGGTATAGAATGAACATTTCCTACTTTGGAAGTTGTGAATTTATTTAATATCTGTTAAAACTATGTCTCTGCACGTTAATCATGGGATGACAGATCTTACTGCTTAAGGCATGGTTATGTTTAATGGGGTTGATTTACAGGGAAATGACAGCAGGGCTGTTGTGAGAACTTGGTCTAGTGATGCAGTGTGGATGGCTCTATGGGACACGGTCAGTGAACTGAAGAGGGTGGTAGGACCTAGGGGTGCTCACGAAGTGTATAAACAAAGGCCACGGAGACTACTCCAGCAGGCATTTCCAGGCTGAAGTTCAGTTGGCCCATATTTCCATGACTGTCCCTACCAGTTTCCTCATTTTCTTTGTCAAGGCCGTTTGGGGTGTGTGCAACAGCTGGCCCGCCCCTCTCCTCCACAGCAGAAGGGGAGGGCAGGGCCTTAAGCTCTGGGATGGGACATCCAGCCAACTTTGCCAGAATTCTGGATCATGCAGGACTAATCCAGCCAGTAGTTCGTTCTTTCTCTTTTCCTTTGCTTCCTACTGATGGGCACTTCTCCACTCTGTAAATTCATCAAAATATGGGCAAAAGAAAATAAACAATGCCCAATTTTTACAGTATCTTCTTTGATGCAGGCTTGATGAAAGATGAGTTGAATATAAATGGACAGAAAAAGCTGTATTTCTGAGGTCTTTGCCCCACAACGTAATTGGTGATTGAAGGCAAAGGGTTCTAGGCTGTCCTTTGATCAGGTAAAAAAAACAAACAAAACACTGACCCACAGGGGCCAGGTCTGGTCCTGTTTATTGACATTGTATTAATTTTTTTTTTCTAGATAAACAGATTGTTCCTACATTCTGCAGAACAAACAAACGTAAGGCAAACAAACAAAAAAGGAATTAAAAAATGAAAGTTAAAGTTACTGAAGTATTAGAAGAAAATCTGTCATGAAACCAACCGGGCAGCCCAAGCTCCTTGCACATTCGGTGTGCTCCGCAGACTCTTACCCTTCTTTAAGCAGGATGGGTTGCTCCGTGCTCTTGTGGTCTCTTCTCCCCGAGGATGAAATCAAATCTAAGAACTTGACGTGGGAAAGAAGTTGATGGTTAGAAGGGAACAAGAACATACACAGCGTATTTTCATTCTGACACATAAATGGTGGTTCAGGAAGACACGCTGTCTTCTCACGAGAGCAGGAAAGATGGAAGGATTTGGAAAGGTGGATGCAGGAAGTTCCAGGTAATCAGCTCCTCTGTGGGATTCCTGGGAGTTCTACACTTGTTTCTACTACAGAAAAAAAGAAGTATCCAGTCCCCACCCCTAAACTTTCCCCATTAATCCTTCCAGAGAATGTCTCCTACGTAACTTCACCCTATAAACACAGTTCTACATTAGTATGATAGATTGCCATTAGCGTATCCCCACCAAGGTGTGACCAGGCTCCTTATAACACCAGGAGTATCTTCCAGCACCCTAACAGGTGATCCAGAAAGAGGTGTGAGGCATCTGTAGGAAAGGTCCTGGCAGAGAAGGGAGGCACAGGACCTACCCAAGGCCCTACCCGCACTCTGGGCCCAAGGCACTCGCCTCCATGCTCCAGTGCTGATAGCCACTTCTGAAGGTTGTGACAGACAGGGTCTCTGCTCAACTGGACTATTTTATGACTTTTCTAGATCACTGCAGCTGATAGCCAAAAGGCCAGAATGGTAGCTGGTCTGAGCCCCCGTCCCTGGCTCTCCTGTCTACATTCATGCTTTTTAAATGACTTCTGAGAGAGAAATGTTTGTTCCTAAACAGCAGAAAAAAGTAAAGTTTTAGGATCCAGGAGAATTTCTTCCCCAAGCATTCTGTCCCTAACTTTGGGTCTAGGATACCAGGGATCTCTGTGCTTCTGAGAGGCATTTAGGGGTATCAGGGCCAGACACTACTGTGTGGGGTAAACCCAGAACAAATAAGGGCGGCAGCCCAGGGGACACAGGGCTTGGATGTAGGCATATTGGCAGCAAAAGGTGTAAAATACAGATGAGCTTAGAGACGGAAATGGAGAGAGACCATCTTGTGAAGGTACTAGATTCCAAGAGTCCTGACAAAAAGAGCTAAAACCCAGCTCTGCTTCTTAGGAACAATCAATGATGCTGGAGAAGATAAGCATATGCTAACTGATGTTGGTGCTTACATTTTTGACTGCATCAGCGTATTTCTGTTCATTGAAGAATTCATAAAATGTAGCCATGTAGGACTCCTTGAAGCTGGCCTAGAACAAAAGAGGTTGTTTAAGGAAGGTCTAAAGATTCCATAAGGGGTCTGATAGCGTAGTGGTTACGAATCGGGCTGCGAACCGCAAGGTCAGCAGTTTGAAACTCCCAGTAAAGATTTACAGCCTCAGAAACCCTGTACAGGGTCGGTATGAGTCGGAACTGACTCCACGGCACATAACCACCACCACCAAAGATGCCATGGCACACATTTAAATCTAAGAGCACGGATTCGGCTAAGCCTAATCTATGACATCAAACAACCAAAAATCCTCTTTCTTATTGTTTAATTGATAAGAGTATTAAAATGCTTTCCGAGAAACTTTAGGTCATGTGCACCAAACAACATGAGCCCAGAGGTCCAATGGCTACAGTGTTTGGCTGTAATCCAGAGTTCAGTGGTTAGAAACCAACAGTTCCTCTGTGGGAGAAAGATGTGGTCGTCTTATTCGGTGAAGATTCAGAAACCCCGTGGAGCTCTTGTGCGGTCTTACATGAGGGTCACTAGGAGTCAGAATGGACTTCGCAGTAGCGACTTTGGGTTTGTTGGGTAAACACACCAGTTGCCATTGAGTCAAATGGACTCATGGTGACGCCATGTGTGTCAGAGTAGAACTGTGTTCCATACGTTGTCAATGGCCCATAAGTGACTTTAATCATAGAAAGTATGTTTAAAATTTTCTATGTTGTTGTTGTTGTTGTCAGGTGCCATCGAGTCGGAACCGACTCCACGGCACATAACAACAA